TCCTCCCTCAGACCCCGCTGTGCTCCCTCAGATCCCGCTGTCCTCCCTCCGACCCCGCCGTCCTCCTCCCTCAGACCCCACTGTCCTCCCTCAGACCCCACTGTGCTCCCTCAGATCCCACTGTCCTCCCTCAGACCCCGCTGTCCCGTCTGAGAATGGACCGGCTGGAGCCCGGCTGGAGCCCCTGTGGCCCGGCGGTGCCTCCCGGGTCCCTGTTGTTTTCACGTGTGTGGTCCGCCTGCGTGTCTGCAGCACGTGCGCGCCTGCGTCCAGAGACTGCAGAGGAGGCGCCGGATCCGCGGGCCTGGGGTTGCAGGCAGTTGGGAGCTGCCTTGTGGGTGCCGGGACTCGAACCCGGGTCCTTGCTCTTCTGCTTTCTGTGACACTGCCCCTCTCTCCAGCTTCTGTTCACACAGAAGACAGACCGCCAGCTGCTGCTGCTGCAGGACCCCAGTGCGCACGCGTCCGCCAGCTCCACGTCCTCCTGCCTGTTCTCCGTGCACAGCTCTCTGCAGGTGCCTCGCTGTGGGGGGTGCCGGGAGGAGGGGGGTGCCGGGAGGGGGGTGCCGGGAGGAGGTGCCGGGAGGAGATGCCAGGAGGCGGCAGCTGAGCCCCAGGAGAGGACAGCCAGCTGCGCTCCCAGGAGAGGGACCTCGGGACTCAGCTGGGCGGCAGGCGAGGGGGTGCAGGGGAGCCGGGACACCCCGGGAAACCGCTCCTAGGAAAGCCCCTCTCGCGTGTGTCCACGCGTAGGTGTGCGAGGGTGCGGAGCTTGGCCCCTGACGCTCTCCCATGGCGCTGTCCACAGTTTTCTCTGTAGCCAAGTGTGGTTCTGCGCGTGGTCCACCTGGGGGGTCTGAGTCTGAGGCCAGCCTGGTCTCCACAGGGGGTTCCAGGCCTCTGAAGAGCCCGCAGGCCAAGGCCCTGACATTAACGTGTGCCTCTGCGAGGGTGTGTGCACCCGAGTGCGGTGCCCACCGTGGCCAGAAGAGGGCGTCTGGTCCCCTGCAGCTGGAGCTCTCGGTGCCTCTGAGCGCCAGGCGTGCATGCTGGGACCAAACCTGGGTCATTAACTTGAACCATAAGTGCTCTTGACCTCTGACCCCCACCTTGTTTTTTGAGCACGGTCTCCTAGGCTCACAGACCAGGGATCTCCGGAACACCTGACTGGCCTCCCAGGGAGTGTGTGTGTGTGTGTGTGTGTGTGTGTGGAGTGTAAACGCACCAGCACAGCGGTGGACCGGTGGACCGTGCCCCCTCCTCTGCGCAGGCCAGAGCTCAGGCCAGGCTGTGGCTGTGCTAGGCGGGGCCTGTGACCGCTGCGCGGCATCTGGTCCTCACGCTCACACACCAGCCTCTCTGAGCTGTGTCCCCAGCTTGCCAGGGTTGTAGTTTCCACCGCCCCGAGCGATGGCGGCCATGATTCACTGAGGTGAATTAATGATGACGCTGGCACGGTGTCCGTCGGTCCCCAGCTGTCGCAGAGCCATGGCCCCGGGCCCTTCGGGGATGCTTCCCTCTCAAACATTCCTAACACGTGTTCCCAGGGGTCCATTGGTCTCCAGAGGACCGGAAGCCTGCCTCGGAGGAGGGGGGACAGGGCCGGCCAGCGGGGGGCCCCCAGACCGCTGTCCCTCCATTGTACAGGTGAGGAGCCCCCCCATCCTGCAGCAGAGGGTGGGGACAGCCTGGGCGCTGAGGTGGAAGCAGCTGGAGGGCGTCAGGTACAGGAAGCATCTGGCTGCCTGCCTGTGCCCTCTTCCTCAGGAGCCCTGGAGCCCTCTGCTCTTGCACAAGCCACGGGGACCCCTGGGAGACACCCCCTCTATCAGCTGCTCAACTGTGGCGCTGGGAACAGGTGAGGCGTGACTGGAGGAGGGGAAGGAGGAGGGAGGAGGGGAGGAGGACACCTGCCAGGGTGGCCTTCACGTGTGAGCTCTGTCCCCAGGCCACTTCACCCCGACCTCGCCCGCATGGAGCGACTCTTGCAGCAGGCGGTGGCAGAGCGGGAGCGGCTGCTCAAGGCCAGGGTGAGACTGCAGGTGTCCCCTGAGGCGGGGCTTGACCCGGCCCACTGCTTTACCCCGGGTCAGGACCCAGCCCTCCAGCCCCGGCCCACTGCTTTACCCCGGGTCAGGACCCAGCCCTCCCCTCAGACCAGCAGTCAGGCCAGCCTCCTCCCTCAGACCAGGGGTCAGGACAGCCTCCTCCCCTCAGACCAGCAGTCAGGCCAGCCTCCTCCCTCAGACCAGGGGTCCAGGCCAGCCTCCTCCCTCAGACCAGGGGTCAGGACAGCCTCCTCCCTCAGACCAGGGGTCCAGGACAGCCTCCTCCCTCAGACCAGGGGTCCAGGCCAGCCTCCTCCCTCAGACCAGGGGTCCAGGACAGCCTCCTCCCTCAGACCAGGGGTCCAGGACAGCCTCCTCCCTCAGACCTGGGGTCCTGGCCAGCCTCCTCCCCTCAGACCAGCGGTCCAGGCCAGCCTCCTCCCTCAGACCAGGGGTCCAGGACAGCCTCCTCCCTCAGACCTGGGGTCCTGGCCAGCCTCCTCCCCTCAGACCAGCAGTCCAGGCCAGCCTCCTCCCTCAGACCAGGGGTCCAGGACAGCCTCCTCCCTCAGACCAGGGGTCAGGACAGCGTCCTCCCTCAGACCAGGGGTCAGGACAGCCCCCTCCCTCAAACCAGGGGTCAGGACAGCCTCCTCCCTCAGACCTGGGGTCAGGACAGCCTCCTCCCTCAGACCTGGGGTCAGGACAGCCCCCTCCCTCAAACCAGGGGTCAGGACAGCCCCCTTATTCAGACATGTCTCTGTCTCCTGGGTTGGGACGCTCACTGGTTCCCGCTCATGAACCCACAGGAAGGGATGAGAAGAAGCCCAGAAAGTTCCGAAGTTCCGGCCGTCATGGTTCGTGCCCTCTGCCCTGTGTGGGGCCTTTTTCCTTTTGGCTCCTGTCCTCCATGATCTCATGCCTTCTGTCCTCCAATACAACCCAGAAAGGGTCGCTGACCCTGAAGGACGCCCATGGTCCCCCTGTCCCTTCTGGCCGCCCACACATGCACACACGCTCGGCCTGGGCTTATAACTGTCCGCCTGCTTGTTCTTCCCTCCTAACGCCGCTTAGGGGGGTGGCGGGGACATGGGGGGAGGCCCCAGCCAGTCACCTCAGGTGGGGAACGCTCAGGGCCGTCGCGGCCCCTCCATTGTTCTCGAGTGTGTGTGTGAGTCTTGTTTGGGGCCTTGCGTGTTAATCATGGTCGCACCGAGTGTCCCTCCCTTCCTCCCGGTGCTTGGGGAGATGTCGTGGCTATCACAGAGTAGCCGTGTGTGGTGGGGAGATCCAGGAGAGAACGCAGCCACGCGGGGAGGTGTGAACGCAAGGCCTGCGGCCCGGTGTGGCGGTGCACTCTGCAGTTCCCTTGCGTGTCCCACACAGCAGGCCTGTGTGCTCAGCCAGGCGTGGCCGAGATGCCTCCACGGTCAGGAGCTCTCGGAGCCACTGGGGCCAGGGCGCAGTGACCCCAGTTCACCGCAGGACGCTGGCTCTTGGGACAGTCCTGAAGGAGGCCCAGGCTCCCCCGGAGGGCCAGGCTGGCCCAGGCTCCCCCGGAGGGCCAGGCTGGCCCAGGCTCCCCGGGAGGGCGAGGCGGGCATCTCACCAGCCCTGGGACCAGATGCGGCAGGGCCGGGAGACCTTGGCCGGCGTTGGTTGGCTGGAGACCTGTCTGGAGCAGGCTGCCCGGCTTACCTGGAGCCCGCAGCTGCCCAGCCAGCCCTGGCCTCACGTGGTGTTGGTGACCCTGTGCCCCGCAGGCCCCGGCCCCGAGTCCCCCGGGCCCGCGCGTCCTGGACCTCCCGCAGCACCTGGAGCGCTGGGGCCACAGCCCCGAGAGCTGCCCGCACCTGCGCGTGTCGGGGGGCTGCTGCCGCGGGCCGCTGGTGAAGATGGGCGGCCGCATCAAGACCTGGCGGAAGCGCTGGTTCTGCTTCGACCGCCAGGCGCGCCGGCTGGCCTACTACGCGGGTGAGCGGGGTGGGGGGAGGGGAGTGGGG